TGCTCCAGGACAGTTTTGAAAACCACTGCATTTCAGAGACATGTTCTTAAACATGCATGCACAGTTTTAAGGCAGCTTTAATCACTTTTTGGTAACTTCATGACTCAACTGATGACATACAGTAACTACGACATTGCATGCTCGTAGTTTCTTTTGTGCTTTAATATGAAATGATACAGGCTAAAGCGCATGCCGACGCATTTGTGTGTGCAATTGAAGAGAACGTGCTACAAGCACAGTATAACAGTTGACAGTACAGGAAAATTCGTTTTTACTGACATATGGCCGGACAACATCTCATCTGACAGCAGTTCACTGTTGTTCTACTGAAGCTCCCTCCTCACCTGAACCTTTTATTCTGCGCTCATTTGACTAGCGCATGGCGCTGAGGTGAAGTTGGAGAGCGTGTCTGAAAGGTCTCGCATTTGATGTAGTCGTACAGATGTTCTGCGTCTAAATCAATGCTATTCTTGTCGAGAAAAAAGAGGCAGAAGCAGCAGTTGTGAGTGGGATGGCCAACCCTAGCTCCGCCCCGTTAATTGTGTTAAATATTTTTAATGAGTTAAACTGAAAAAATGTATGCGTAAACGCATTAATTTTGACAGCACTAATTTTAACACTGATATTGTTACAATTAGTAATAAAATATATTTAAAAAAGCTATGTAATAATAATAATAACAACAATAAAATAATATTGTTGTTGATAAATTTGTTAATTTAAATAATAATAATAATAGCAGCAGTTTATTAAACTGCAATTTACACTGCAAGACATTCTGTAATACACAGGTTCAAATACACATATGGCAATTAAAAGAAGTCGTCTGTCAGCCAGACAGCCCTCGGGTACCGAATTGAGTTGATACTGTAAAAGCTGTTGCAGTAAACTGCTTTAATTTAGTATCAGCTTCGGTCACAGTACCGATCATTTTGACATGCCTACTGTACATAAAAACATCAGTTACTTCTGCACTGAAGATTCATGTTGTACATACTTTAGCATGTAGGCAGTCTTTTCTTGAAGTCTTTTGCCTTTTCATTTTTCCATGGGGTTGCCCTTTTTAGAGCTTCAGTTAAGTGCAACAAAGAGAAAATGAGTGTGTAACTCACTGAACATTCATTCATTGCTTTAACTCAGTGAGCAGCGAGATTGGCCCGACGGGATTTGAATAATGCTCTGTTCTTTTGGGAAGGGTGGGCCTGTGTGAATGCTGGAGTAGTGCTCTACGCTGTCAGTAATTTGAACTGCTGCACTGTGTCCAGAATAGAGGGAGGAGAACATTCTTCCCTTTCACTCTTGTTTTACATTACAATGAACCACTTCTCTTTTAATCTCTTGTCATTACCCATTATGAAATTATTACTTTAATGTGGCTTGTTAGAAAGCGGAGATTACTTTGATCCAGTTTCTTTTTTAAAAGAACAGTGATAATAGGCTAATGAATAAGTGAAAATCAGATCATAAAGACAGAAGACGGAGCGGTTAGAATGTGCTCAAGTCAGCAGCGCAGCAGACTATGAGGGGGAAAAAGCCATGGGACGGGACACGTAAAGTTACTTTACATCACATAGGCCTAATTTAGGTGGGCTATTATTCTGACTTGATGATGAGATTAAATTTGATGACTAATTCAAAGGGTTCACATACTTTTTCTTGCAACCTTACGCCATATAATCCAAGAATCTATTCCTAGGCTGGTTTTAATTAAACTCCTGTCCCGATAAGACGTGCTTGCTGATGAGGCAGTGTGATTTGACTCTCCACAGCGGTTCCGTCAGCGCCCCAGAGAGTGATTTCTAGCGTGAACGAGACTTCCCTGCGGCTGGAGTGGGATCCACCGAAAGAGAGCGGAGGCCGGGAGGACGTGGTCTACAACATCATCTGCAAGAGCTGCAGTTCAGGTCGAGGGGCCTGCACTCGCTGCGGTGACAATGTGCAGTTCGTGCCCCGCCAACTGGGCCTGACCGATCCACGGGTCCATATCAGTGACCTGCTGGCCCACACGCAGTACACGTTTGAGATTCAGGCTGTGAATGGAGTGTCTGACCAGAGTCCATACTCACCTCAGTTCACTGCTGTCAACATCACCACAAACCAGGCCGGTAAGACAACAGTAAACACAGGTTACGGTTTGAGACATCGCAGATGATGTTCATACTCAAAATATTTTTAACTTGCTGGGGGCTGGATTCGACCTTCAATTACATGAGCTTTTGTGTTACCGGGCAACTTTTCAAGAATTTAGTATAAGGATAAATTATATTTAGTATAAGACTAGTTCAGGGGTTTACAAATGTTTTGATGTCATGGACCTTTAAAAATGTTTATCCTTTTCCTAAAATATTAAAGTAGGTAAATATTTAAATGTGTAAAAAGCAGTTTATATTTTATATAATACATAAATGGTATGTGTATAAAATATGTATAAAACAAAATATTTAATATATTATAATATATTAGTATAATATTAAAAAAATTTATATTATAGAATATAATATATTTAATAGTTTATTTCATCTTATATTGCTATGGTATTATACTGTATTATACTACATATGATATATTATTATATATTATTAAAATTAATTTTAAAAAATGTGTTTGTGTGTATTTTTGTTTATTTATTTTTTTAATTAATGAAAAATATTTTTAAAATATCTGGAATTTATCTGGAAACTATGTAATTATAATTATACTCTTACATAATCATTTCCAACTTGTTTTTAGAATAAAACAGTAATACTATTAAATTTGGTACATTTTTACTTTTATTTTATTTATTTACATTTTTATGCAAGAAACGCCACCTAAGAAATGTGTCTAATTGTAGTCAGTTGATGCCAAAACCAGCGTAACTTTTTACAGCCTTTTTAAAACAATTAGTTGACTAGCTGCCTATTCAGGCAACCCACTGGCTTGGTTTTGAAAATATACAAGTTTGCACATCACCAGATTGTAGTTAAACACTAGTATCTCTGTGAGTCTCACTGTTCCTGTTTTTCCCCTTGCTTGAGTGTCTTCAGTTTTATAGGACACCATCATGAAAGTGATGTGTTTGCATCTTTTTATCTTCACCTGATCAGATTTCTCATGTTCCCTCAATTTTTATCTGAGAACTGAAAGCTAGTCCACAACACTCGTCATATTGCTTTGTACAGGGATTTTAAATGCCAGTCAAAAAGAGCCAGTTCAAAAGGAACATAATAGTGTTTAATAGAGCATTTTAATGAGAGCTGTGCCCCCGGCTGTGCTGCAGTGAACTCGCTGGCCATATCACTGGAGGCTGTGGCTCCACCGGTGTGCCTGTCAGTCCACATTACCGCTTCACTTCTGCCATTAAAAGACAAAAATCCACCTCACACCACCCGCACTTCCACCCCAAACACAGAGAGAGGGACAATGCCAGGACCGGCTGCTCAGCCAGAGCCCAAGCCTGAGCTTATTATTAATAATGTTGCTCTGAGAAACTTGCTAATGGTTTTTAGAAAACACATGTTATGTGCATCAAATAAGGAAAAACGGTGTAAGAAAATCTGTTATTATTATTATTATTATTATTAAAAATGGATATTTAGCCTCAGGGAAGGAATTTCGAGAGTAAAAAAAAAAAAATCATGTTTCTTAATACCATAAGAACCTCCATTTTAAAATCCATCCTCCATTAAGCCTATAGGTATTCCCATTAATGTTTTCAAGTCTTTAATACTTTGTTTTAAGCTGCGATCAACTAGGAAATTACTTTGTCATTTGCCACAGTGGAAATTCTTGTGGAGAAAAGAATGATTCTGAGATCCATTTCAGATGGAAATGCTCGTAATCTGTCCCTCTTATTCTCATCCAGAATACCGCAAGGACATATGAATTTATGTTTTTCACTGAGAGAGTACTACTTGTATTTCTCATAAATTGCAGTCAAAGAGAGCAGCGGAATGATGAAGTACCACTTACTGCAGACTCTTTGGAAAACCGATCACCTCATCAAACCAAAATAACTTATTTTCATATATAATGACTTGCTGTATTTTATGGACGCATACCTGTGGTGGATTCTCTCCAGGCATTCTGGAGTTTCTTGAACTTTAGAAAACTGCATTTCCTTGAAAACTCGGCTAAAGAAACCATGGCTGCTTAGAATAAACAAGATTCAAATGCTAATAGCATTTCGTTGTTGTTTTGTTGTTGCCATTCCATTCCATGAGTTTTATATACACTACTATTCAAAAGTTTGGAGTCAGAAAGAGTTTTTTTTTTCTTTTGTAAGAAATTTATATTTTAATTCAGCAAGGACACATTAAATTGATCAAAAGTGATGTAAAGATATTTATAATGTTCTAAAATATTTTTCAAATAAATGTTATTTACAGCAAATCAACAAATGTTATTTGCTGTTATTTATGTATATCGAAGAATTGAATCACCGTTTCCACAAAAATATTAAGCAGCACAACTGTTTTCAACATTAATGATAATAAGAAATATTTCTTGAGCACCAAATCAGCATATAAGAATGATTTCTGAAGGATCATGTGACACTGAAGACGGAAATTTCAGCTTTGCCATCATAGGAATGAAAAGGTTTCAAAAAGACCAAAACAATACCATAAACGTGGTCCATACAACTTGTGCACTACATGCAAAGTCTTCTTAAGCCATATGATTGTTTGCGTGAGGGAAAGACTGAAATTTTAGTTGAAAATCTTGCTGGTCACCATTAATTTTCCATTGCTTGGGAAAAGAGCAGCTTGAACATTTCATGAAACTTCTGTTTGTTTGTTTTTTGTTTCGCTGAAGAAAGCAAGTCTATACAGGTTTCAAAAGACACAAGTGTGAGTAAATGACGGATGAATATGACTTTGGCTTGTCTGTAATATTTTCCCAGAGTGTAGTCCTGTCATCAACAACAAATTATGGGGGTTAAAAAGTTACATGCGCCTGAGGAATTGAATTTTGTGATTGTTTGAAATGGTTCGTCTTCCTATTTGGAGTGTTAGTCTAATCACATCTGTCTTTTCTAGTGTTGTTTGGATGAATCTCTCCAACATACACAATGGCACGCTCAACTCCTCAACAATCCCATCCTCCTCACACACCATCCCATCATTCAGTGCAGTAAATCAAGACATGGGGCCTGTTCTGCCCATTGAAACTAGTGCATGGAAAAACACTTAATCAAAGCTCAGGATCGAAGTTTACAGAGAAACTAAATAGCACAAGACATATTTTTTACACAACATTGTGCGCTTAATATTCCTGAGCTCTGATCGGTAACAGAGAAAGTATAACAACCTGAGGCCTCGAACTCTCTGAGCGGTCAACCATCAACTATATGCCAACTATAAATATGTGTAATGTATAAAACGTCTGTCTTTGGGCTTAACAGCCGTAATTATACAGAGATGGCACACGTGAAAGAGTATCAGTGTCGTTTATTTGATCAATTTATTTTGAAAAGAGATTAAAATGGTCTTAAAATGCTCAGATATTGTCTTATCTATTGGCATATAAACAGAATCACTTTCCTCCCTACAAACCCAAGCAAGCATGCCAGGAGCAAACCTCATATACTCCGCCACCCCGCTGCTCCAGCTAAACCCTGTTCAAGGCATCGATTGGATTTAAGGCACTGTGATTTGTTTGATCTTTAAACCATAAGTGCAGTTTTACCAGCAGCTATAGTGTTTGCCAGCTTTCACGCCTGTCTTTTTGCTTCTTTAAGCTTGTAAATGATAGTGAAGTGTTACATGGGCTTCCAGAGTCTTTGTTTTAGTAGTCAGAAGCTGCAGTTGATATAATGGCTCCTCTATATCCAAAACTGCACGGGTGCCAGAGAACTGTGAGTACAACGCAGTGGCCAGTTAACATGGGAGCTCCAGAACTATAGACATTATAGCTGATCTTTGTTGGAAATGCTGTTGTATTTTAAAAAATGTTTTTGAAAGAATCCCCTTATATGCCCATCAAGTCAACTTTTATTTGATCAAAAATACAATAAAACCAGTAATATTATGAAATATCATTGCAAATTTATAATTACTTTTTTTTTCTATTTTAATATATTTTAAAATGCAGTTTATTACTGGGATAGAAAAGCTGAATTTTCAGCAGTCCAGTGTTCAGTGTCACATGATCCTTTAGAAATCATTCTAATATGCTGATTTGATGCTCAATAAACCTTTCTTATTATTACCAATGTTGAAAACAGTTGTGTTGATTAATATTTTTGTGAAAACTGATACTTTTTCAGGACTCATTGATGAATAAAGTTCAAAAGATCTGAATTTATTTGAAATAGACATCTTTTGTAACATTAGAACAGTCTTTACTGTCACTTCTGACCAATTAAATGCATCTTTGCTGAATAAAAATATGAATTTGTATATGGAACATACAAACATGGGATTTTCATGATTAATTTTAATGAATTAATAGTTTCTAACGATTTATTAAGGATTATGCAATGTATTCATTTTAATGTTCTTAATGAAAACATTTTTTATACTGAAGGGCCTTGGCTTGGCTGAGATTCTGTGTGGTGATCTAAACTCATTCAGGATTGAGAACCTCTCTAATGTAGTCTTTATTATGAGCTTATTTTTCATGAAAAGATTCTCAGATGAACTCCTACACGTTATGTATCCAGCTATGTTTATTTCTCATTTAATTGTTACCTTTTTTTTATCACCCTCTCTACAGCTCCATCTGCTGTGTCAATCATGCATCAGGTCAGTCGAACCGTGGACAGTATCACACTGTCCTGGTCCCAGCCAGACCAGCCCAATGGAGTCATTTTGGACTATGAGCTGCAATATTATGAGAAGGTAATAATTCATCAAATACAAACATACTGAAAATTGTCCAGCTATTCTCTCAAAAAATAGAAATATTCAATGAAGTTGAATTGAGGTGAACTTAAAAAAATCCCTTTCAATAAATAATAATAATAATAATATTTTGGGATAAATTAGTTATGCTCTTAAACAATCTTAAATTAAGATTAATTAAGAGTGGAATTTGAGCTCAGGGCACATTAAGTGCCTGTGATCCCTAAATGAAGTGATTTTACTTTAATGAAGAACTAAATTAAATACACTACATAAATAGATGATGTTAGTTTAACACATAACACTCAAATCAATTTCTAATGTGTCTGTGAAGTTCTGGATTTCTGTACATCCCGTTATGCTAATTAAATGGCTAATGTAGTCCCAACAAAGTGTATTAAGTAAATTTCCATTGTGCTAATTTAAATTAACTATGTGCAATGAAATTAAATTTTAACAAAAAAAAAACTTTCAAAAATTGTTGCATTAGCATAATTATAATTAACTAAATTGGTCAAGCAGCAACACCAAAATAAATTAAACTGAATCATTGACATTTCTTCTAAAATGTGGACCATTTTATTATTCTAAACATGACTTTAATTGCTTCTGTATGGATTTTGTTGTATGTGATTTCTGATCTTTGTTTCAAATCTAGAATATGGCAGAGTCGAACTCCACTCTACTGCGGAGTCAGATTAATACAGCGGTTATCCGGGGCCTGAAGCCGGAGACCATCTACGTCTTCCAGGTGCGAGCCAGAACAGTGGCGGGCTTTGGACGTTTAAGTGGGAAGATGTACTTCCAAACAATGACTGAAGGTACTGGACTTTAACAAAAGTTTGCCACTAGACATGTTGATTTTGCTTTTCTGCTTTCCCAATTAATAGTCTGATTATTTCTTTACAAGTCAGGTGCCACAGTCTGGCAAAAACTGCTTTCCAGTCTCTGAAATGACTTTAACCTCAGTGTGTTGAAACACAATGTTAGATCTATGTGCCAAGGGCAAAGCCAGAAACATGAGCCAGTGGTCAAGCCATCGCAGCATGTTGCTTGCTCTCAATACTAATCTGAGACATGTAGCCACATTCACTTTGACGAAAATGGAAACATTTGACAGCAGAGAACACTTTGCTGCTTGGAAACGCATTTATTTGTGTTTAGCAGGCATTAGAATATTCTGTGGCATGTCTGACAAAATCCAGAAAGTGACTGTTGACAAATTATTATTAAAATGTCACAAATGTAAAAAGTGTTGACAGTCAATCGCTAAAGATGAATCAACAGCCTGTGAAGGTTTGTCAGCCAATCAGAATCAAGAATTTAACAATACTGTGATATAAAATGAGGCAACAAAAATATTTGAGACAAATTGAGTCAATTTTCTGTGTACACTACCAATCAAAAGTTTGAGCTTAATAAGTTTTTGAAAGAAATATTTTATTCAGCAAAGATGCATTAAATTGATCAAAAGTGACAGTAAAGACATTTATGTACAGTCAAGACATTTAATGTTACAAAAGATTTCTGTTTCAAATAAATGCTTCTTTTGAACTTTCTATTCATTGCAGAACCCCGGGAAAAATGTATCACGCTCCACAAAAATATTAAGCAGCACAACTATTTTCATCATTGATTATAAGAAATGTTTCTTGAGCACCTAATTAGCATATTAGAGTTAGGATCATGTGACACTGAAGAGTAATGGCTGCCTACAATTCAGCTTTGCCATCACAGGAATAAACTACTTTTTTTTTTTTAATATTAAATTATAATATATATATTTTTTTTTACAATATGATTGTTTTTACTGTATTTTTGATCAAATAAATGCAGCCTGATGAGCATAAGAGGCTTCTTTCAAAAACAAAAATTACACCGACCTTGAATTGTAGTATTTTGTGTATCTTGTCTTTCTGCCAACATTTAGATTGATGAATGCCTCTGTGAATTTTAAATGATAATCTTCATATTTAAAGTGTGTTGTTCTATTGGAAAACCTGAAATGTCATTGGCTAATGCAGGAAAATGTATAGTATTTCCTGCAGGTCTGCTAAACCTATCTGTATTTGTATATTTTAGCTTAGACAGTACACAAGGGGACTTTTACATTTTTTTATTAAAATTAAATGTTAGAGTCTTTTTTGTGATGAAAAATCACAAAAACTGATCTGATTTTGTGTCTACCATGTATACATCTGAAGAGGAGTACAGCTCCAGCCTGCAGGAGAAACTGCCCCTCATTATCGGCTCTGCTGCTGCTGGTGTTGTTTTTCTCATCGCTGTGGTTGTGCTCATTATCGTCTGTAATCGGTGAGTCTGTTGGTTACCATGATCTGGAATAGATTAAACAAAACTGAGCAGATGTTTGATTTCCTCTTTCTCTCATAAACTAAGAAATACCTTTAAAAAAGTGTTTCAAAGTAGCCCCTTTTTTCTGACTTTTCCTGTTGGGGACTCATCAGGAGAGGCAGTGACAGGACAGAATCTGAATACACTGACAAGCTTCAGCATTACACAAGCGGCCACAGTGAGTAAACCATTCAGTGACTTTATAATATTTCATTTGTGCTTATAATATTTACTTGATCTTTTTAAACAAGGCTCACGTCAATAAATGAAAACAGCAGAGCACATATAAACAACATTTTAACCACGGCACAACTTTACTTACAATTTGAAGATCTTTGCCACACGATGACACGTTATGAACTACAGTGTATTGAAATCGGTTCACGTGTTGATAAAATGTGCTAGTTGACTCAGCATGTGCTGTATATGCAGAAACCATAATTAGTTTTTACTTAATTTCCTCTCCCAAAAGTGCTTGCATGCTCAGAATACTCCACATTTATTATTTAGTTTGCCATATGATTCTGTTTCATTGATGGGTTTTATAATGTTGACAGATAATTTAATAAGATAAATCATTTAAATATACATCACTGATTCTTAAGATATGTGGCAAAACATAAGTTATAAATATAAATCTATATATCTATATATAACTAAATACATATTATATAAATACATATATAATATAATATAATGCTAAAATAAGAAAATAAAATGAACATGTACATTTGTGTTATTTTGGTGATCTGATGTTTAAAACTTTTAAGTTTTAAAAATTGCATTTTGTCTCATCCCATCGTTTAAGAATCATTGATATGTAATTATTACAGTATAGGCAATATATTTGTTGCATACACTGCAGCTCCTGTTTCTCTTTCCAAGTGTCTCCAGGAATGAAGATCTACATTGATCCTTTCACATATGAGGATCCCAATGAGGCAGTGCGCGAGTTCGCCAAAGAAATAGACGTGACCTGTGTGAAAATCGAGCAAGTCATTGGTGCAGGTGAATTTCACTGTTCACGTAAATAAGGAATATTTTAATATGCATAGATTTAATTGCATAGAGTGCCGATTTTGCAGTCTAACCAACATCTTTGCATTATTACTACATATAAGCAAATCGACCGTTAAATAGAAAGCAGCTGCAATCTAGCAAAAGCCTGGAGCTTTTAATGTGTTCACACCTTTAATTATTGTTAAAGGAGCAACAAAGTTTTAGTAAACCAGGCTGCTAATTTAATTGTTTTCATCTAACTGAATTTTAAATGACATTTCCTGAGGTGTAATCAACTGGTCTAATCGTTTGAACTTTTAAGGTGAGTTTGGAGAGGTATGCAGCGGTAATCTCAGGCTTCCTGGGAAGAGGGAGATTCTGGTGGCCATTAAGACTCTGAAATCAGGCTACACTGATAAGCAGCGGCGGGACTTCCTGAGCGAAGCCAGCATCATGGGGCAGTTTGACCATCCCAACATCATCCACCTGGAAGGAGTGGTGACCAAGAGCACTCCAGTAATGATCATCACTGAATTCATGGAGAACGGATCACTGGACTCCTTCCTTCGGGTAAGCTTCAGAGTTGCTGAAAGAAAACAACAACAGCAACATTGAAAGTGCACTTACATTTTGTAAGTTGTCTTGGACTTGCTGACACCTAGTGGTGTGGAAGAAGTATCATGCAAAAAACGTTTTTAGCTATCGATGCCATTTTAGAAATGCTCTGTTCACACAGTTAACCATCATTAATTTGTTCCACAAGTGAAATAAATCCAGTGGCAGTAAAATTCGACTGTTCATGGGATCTCAACATGGCCGCCAAGAGGTTACCCACTCTATGTAGAAAAAAATTGCTTTTATTAGGACACTGATATGGCGAAAGTCTTCAGTTCATTTAAGTTTACATGATTTTAAACATTTACTAAACTTTTTTAAATCAATATTTACATTACAGTTCAAATATTTGGGATCAGTAAGTATTTTTTTAAAGAAGTCTTTTATATTTACCAAGGCTGCATTTATTGGATCATAAAATACAGTAAAAACAGTCATATTTATTTTAAATTACTATTTAAAATAATTGCTCTCTATTTTGAAATATTTTACAATGTAATTTATTCCTGAGAGGCAACGTTGAATTTTCAGCATCATTACTTCAGTCCTCAGTGTCACAAGATCCTTCAGAAATAAAAATTTCTGTCGAAAACTTGAAACTTTTAATGGAAAGTTTAAATGGAATGCAATTATTTGAAATAAATAGAAATCTTTTGTAACATTATAAATATCTTTACTTTTTGTAACAAATTTTCACTTCTAATTGGGCTGCACGAGCCATTTAATCATGGTTATTTGTAAAAAATAAATAACCTACAATAACCACACAACATTTCTAGAGTCCCCACCCCCATATAAATTGTTTTACATGCTACATTGGGTTTAAAATCTGTAAATTCAAATTTATGGCACCTAATTGAAAAACAAAACTAATATTTTTGCCCTCACATAAAAACCAATTTAGTTCAGCTTTTTATTTCACAGTGCATGATGGCACTTGTCCTTGTGTTGCTTTTAACTGACCCAGGATCCCACTGGGAAGGGCCCAGATGTGTCAGCCGAGAGGCACAGCTGGAATGAAGTCCAGATGTTTTGCCACAAGATTTTGACACAAGCTCACAGAACAAAGATGTTTTGTTGGAAAGGCTGATTTTAAAATGCTAGAAATGCTTTTTTTTCTTAATGTAGAGAAGAAACATATGTGTATCCTCTGTCTTCAATACATAATTTGATTGTATTTTAATTTATTTCATATTTCTGTATTCTCTGTATGGCATCTTAGCAAAACGATGGCCAGTTCACTGTCATTCAGTTGGTTGGCATGCTGCGTGGCATTGCATCTGGCATGAAATACCTCTGTGACATGAACTACGTACATCGTGATCTGGCTGCCCGCAACATCCTGGTTAACAGCAATCTAGTCTGCAAAGTATCCGATTTTGGGCTTTCTCGCTTTCTGGAAGATGACACATCAGATCCTACATACACAAGCGCCCTGGTGAGTGTCTGTTTAATGGGTTATATAGCCTGATGCTATGTGGCAGCACCTACTTCATGCTAATGAAATATTTCTTACTAAATTCAATGTCCACAAAGGGAGGGAAAATTCCAATACGATGGACTGCTCCCGAAGCCATTCAATACAGGAAGTTCACGTCCTCGAGTGATGTGTGGAGCTATGGGATCGTAATGTGGGAGGTCATGTCCTATGGAGAGCGACCATACTGGGACATGAGCAATCAAGATGTATGAATCGATTCTTATATGATTACATAGTCATATTGATGATTACAGATTCTATTTTTCATCTATTCTATTTTTCCATGAAGAGCTGGATAAGGATGTCCCCTAGTGGACGAACAATGTCATTAAACACCATCTGAAAGTGCATACATGAACATGTGTATAAAATTTGTATTGTTTTGTTATATTGATGTATTGTTAAGTATAACATGTTTAATATGTAATTTATCTTCCTATCAATCTAGGTAATAAATGCAATCGAGCAGGATTATAGGTTACCTCCTCCTATGGACTGTCCAAATGCACTGCACCAACTAATGTTGGACTGCTGGCAGAAGGACCGAAACAACCGTCCGAAATTCAATCAGATTGTTAACACTCTGGATAAGATGATCCGTAATCCTGGCAGCCTGAAGGCCACCACTCCTCTCTCTTCAGGGTAAGAGATTTTACTCTGGGTCAACACAGACTAGAAGGGGCCAGCAAGCACTGAGCACTGAATCATATTCAGTTCATTAGTCTGAACCGTATAATCGTAAAAAAAAAAATTGTAAATTGTTATTGCAAAAAATTCAAACAATCAGTGTCATTAGAATTCAGTATTCTTAGCAACGCCATTTGTCTGAACTTTATAATTAGAATGCAGGACAATTTCCATCTAGTTTTATTTTTTTAAGTTACATTTGCTGGTATATTATCTGTTCTCAGTTTGTCACACCACAGAAAAATGTTATTTACCACCCAGCCAAATTTGAATGAGAAAAAAAAATGCCAGGTAAATAAAATAAGGTATCAAAATCTTGAAAAATTAAGCATTATTCTCAGATCTCAAATACTGTCTGCACTGAAACCACGCCCACTCGTGGGAAAGCCGCCTCTCTCAACTGTCAAATACAGCTACAACCTGAATGGATGCTCCCTCTAGTTTGGGATTACATTTCTGCGCGCGAAAGATCATATTTTGAGCGCACAAAAGTGCATTTTGCACGCGCGCGATCTGAGTTTTGTGGAGAAAACGTTCATTTCGCAAAGAAAAAAGTATTTCGAGCGCACGAAAATCAATTTTGCATTTAAAATACGTTTTTGGATGTGTGCAGACCTTCTCTTTTGCGCGTGCAACCGTTCACTAGCTTGCTCACCTGATGCCCCCCTCAGTGCTCGCTAAATGCCAACAGCTCGCGTGCTCAACACAACCCAGCGTTAAGACCTTCTCTTTTGCGCGTGCAACGTTTCACTAGCTTGCTCACCTGATGCCCGCCCTCAGTGCTCTGTAAATACCAACAGCTCGCGTGCTCAACACAACCCAGCGTTATAATGTGCCATAATTCCAGCCAATCAGAGACGAGGCTGCTAAATTCTGATTGGCTGCCTTGACAACCACCATACATGTTTGGTAATATGCATTTACGTGACGAATGCATAGCTAGCTAGTAAACTGTTGGCTGCAGTAACTAACAATTGAGCGGGCGAAGCACTGATGCTAATGAGCTCTAGTTATTATAGTGTTAGGGGAGGGGCCATGCTCAGTGGCTCCAGTGCATCATCGAGACTTAAGTCCCGCCCAAAAAATCCTGAACACAAAAATGGTGAAAAACTGTTTAATGGTCAAACTCCACAATTCAGCACTACATAGTTATTCGTCTTTATAACGTGTTTTCAGCTATACATTTCTAACATTTATAATGTGGTTTTTTAGAAACAATTCCCTGAATTGCCTTTACACTGACTTTAAGTTGATAAATTAATTAAAATTTAAGTTTAGATATATTTCAGAAAATGACCAATTTATCATTTTTAAGTTATATTACAGATACAGAATAAATATATAATACACATAAATACACAAAAAAGGTATTAAAAATTTAAAGACTGAAGAGTAACAAAAAGAGTTGACAAATTTACAGTAATCGAATTTACACGAGTATCATAAGCAATGTTTCTTTAGCATCTAATCAGCATATTAAAATGATTTCTGAAGGATTATGTGACACTGAAGACTGGAGTAGTGGTTGCTGAAAATTCAGCTTTGCCATCACAGAAATAAATAATATTTGAAATTATATTAAAATAGAAAACAGTTATTTTTAATTGCATTAATATTTCTCAATATGACTGTTTTACTGTATTTTTGAGCAAATAAATGCAGCCTTGGTGAGCAAACTTTTGAACGGTAGTGTATGGCAGAGTTGTATAGTTTGGCATTTTTAATTCGTTCAGCTGGGTCAAATGGTGGGTTTTTTCTAGTTTAGCAGAATACACTTTTTCTAATACACATGATATAAGTCTCATCCTAGTGAAGTTGATTCTGTGGCTGTTTTACAGCGTACATCTACCTCTGCTGGACCGCAGCACACCTGACTTCTCCAGCTTCAGCACAGTGGATGAATGGCTTGATGCCATCAAAATGGGCCAGTACAAGGAGAACTTTGCCAATGAAGACCTCACTACCTTTGAAGCCGTATCTCAGATGACCATGGAGTATGCTATCTTCCATAGAGCTCAACATATTCACATCAATCATTTTCATTCGTTTCAAGCTACAGAACCAGATGCTATAGCCGCCAGAAACCTATTACTGTAAATTTGATAGATAGTCTTGTCTGCTTAGATCATTCTTTGACTGTGGCATTATGCAGTTGCTTCTCTCACGCCCTCTTTCTGTCCTCACAGTGACATTCTGAAGGTGGGAGTCACACTAGCAGGCCACCAGAAGAAGATTCTCAACAGTGTGCAGATGATGCGAGCCCAAATGAACCAGATCCAGTCAGTGGAGGTTTGATTCTTAAGAGTGGAGGATGGGACCAGCCTGTGCACACCAGACCCCTGTGGACCTCCTCACAGAAAGACGCCCCCCTCAGCGAGCCCTGTGTCCAGAGCCCAGAAGTAGGGGATGATCAAGAACAGATCCCCGCAAGACCGCTATGGTCTCGATACAGCACCAGCACACTGAAGGCAAGCTGTAGTCTTTGCAATGGCCAAAATTATCCATAAATGTAATTCTGGCTGCATTTACATGCAAGTTTATGTTCCAGTATTATCTCTGACTTTGCGGTATATCTAATAAACCACATAAAAACCTCTCATGTCTTTTTAAATGTTGGTATATCTGTTATTTAATAGACATTTAAGAATCAATTTTCTAATTTAAGGTGGCATCCTTGTCAAATATACAATTTGCATAAAAATAATAGCCTTTTGTATGTAAATTCCTTGCTCTAAGCAGCTTTCTCTATTGTTACATCATGAAATGTGCTACCGATTACCTGCAAATCACCTGCCAAGTAACTATTTTTGCTAAAGTTTTTCTGAGCATCTTATGGGTCCATTCAAAAGCATTTATAAAGTGCACCCATTATATTATTAAAATTCAAATATTAGAAGAATGTGTCACAATTCACAGAATTAGAATAAAATGCAGTCACCTTTATCATGATAGTGTTATATTGAGTATACATTTATTCAGAGCATTTCCATGTGCAGAATAAAAGGGTTGAAAAGCTTGTTCATGCATGTAAATGTAGCCATTATCACAAATTATTTTATAAAGATTATTTTGGCTGTTAGTTTTTCTTTGGGTAAATCTGCAATCTCATTAAATGAGAACAAATCAGATTTTGATTATATAGCCCTGTTACTCTATGATATGATTTGGTTCTCAAACATATTCACCAGAAATGTATTGGAGAATTTAAAAGGATAATTTAAAATGTAAAAACATTGTCTTGGTGTGCATCTGAAACGGACTATGGACTAATAGCAAGAAAAAAGGAGAAACAATTATACATGTGTGATGCTCATGTATGATGAGGAATGATCCATTGATGGATCTTGTGCTGGCAGAATTTGCCAATATGAGGACTATTATAAAAATTCAACTATGTGAATAGTAGGCAAAGCAACCAGAACTGGTTCAGTCTGTTTTTTTGTTTTTGTTTTTGTTTAGTTTTTTTTACAAAGTAATGTGATGAATATTTTTTATTCATGAGTTTTATTTATTTGTTTTATGCTTTGTAACACTATTACTTTCCAATTAACCATATAATAATGCACCAGTGTTGTACTACAGATGTTCTTGTCACATATCAGAAGCACTTAATGTGCTGATTTCCTCACAGAGCCTGCCGACAGAATTTAATAGAGGTGCATGCCGGATTTAATTTGATGTTTACTTTCTATCCCAATAGTATGTGTCCCTTAGTGTTCATTTTTCATCAGATGTCATGTTTTGAAAAAGTTTTCCCCCCACATTTTTCTTTCAAAATTTTGACAATTTCTTGTATTTATGTATATGTATACATATATAATTATGTGTGTATATATACGTGCTGGCACTTCGCAATTAGGGTACAATTTGTTGTAATTTTTAAAGCATTAAAGGCACTAATCCCATGTTTTTTGTTGTAAGAATTGTTAGATGTTTGACAAACCATTATCTAACAAGATTAGCATGAAAGTAGCTAGTTTTGAACACTTTAAATGTCCCCGTCTCCCCCTTGAAATTTGTATTTGGCCTGTCCCACTTTATTTTCAGGCCTTAATTTGTATCCTATTTGCTGTCCACATGAAATAGTTCTTGCCACCAAGGAAGCGCTGCACACACAAAAGCAGCTTACGAAATTGAAGAATGAGATGAAAAGAGTACAGACCTTTGGGAGACCTAAAGACACATTACAAAAGACTTTAAGTCTGCTTTAATTGAAAGATATGTTTTTATAATAACATCAATATCCTTCCTTACTGGGATAGTTTTGTGCAGTTTATCTGAATTTTAGTGGCGTGGCAAAGGTCATTTTGACAGTATGAGCCTGGACTAAGTGAAAAGACTTCACTGACCATGCTTGGACAATTTGTTTTTAAAATATATATATCTTTGACATGTTTTACACAAACTTTATGACATATTCAGCATTATTGTGAAGTAATTTGCAAAATACATGCTTGCTTGTTTGTTGTTTTCAGTATATACAGTGTTGGTTAATAAGCAGTTACAGTTCTAGTCTGTTGCTCTTCCTGGAGCACAGCACATTTGTAACCCAAAATAGTTGTTGAGTTGACACTTTTGACACTGTGACACCGTCTCTCTAAAGTGAATGTGCTTCCTATCAACTTGTTGACTGGTCTTCCACGTTTAAACACTTTACACGTGTATAGAAATACTCTTGTTCACTTTCTTAATAGGTCTGAATCTCACATATTTTTGTTTCAATCACTCTCTCAGCACTAACACCTCTTACCGACCTTCACTTGTTTTTCTCGTAGGCATACTGACTTTTAATGTGAGACAGTTTGCTGTGTCCTTTATAAAGCTTTGCCTGACAAACTCATAACTGTTAATGGTTATGTGCTGCAATATTTAGGTAAATATGCCCATATCTATATTCCATGCTTTCATTTTACATTAAACTGCATTTTTCAGAGTGCTAGGCAACTCTCTATATGTAAAATGTAAAGCTGAAAGTGCAATGTTTTGTAAGCAACATCATTTATTATTGCAAAACCATTTCTTCTTCCCCTTTTAATTGAAATTTTAACAATTCATGAAAGCACCAGGAATCAACTTCATAAAGGGAATACAATTTTTTATTTCAGTCTTTGCAATTTATTTTATTTTTTAAATGTCATTACCATAACAACAGAATGGTAATAAAAAGGTTGTATGAAAAGAATGTACATATGTTAATATATTAGAAAATACCTTCATGTATATCTTTTTTGTTTACCATTTTTAATTGTAATGTGGCAATTTTTTCCCGTTTTACTTTCTATTCGATACATAATCCATTTCTCTGTGGTGAATATATGACTGTGGATTAGGCCATGTACACGCATACAATAGTATGCACACACTTTAATTGGTAATAACTCGTCATACACGCACTGTACTGTCCACCTTGACCACTGTGAGTGAAGCAGGAGGCTCTGGATTTTGTATAAATGTACATTTACTGTAACCCTGTGAATGATGTTACAGTTGAATAATTTGTAGTATTGCTATTGGTTTATTTTCTATGAAAGAACATTTGTGGCCCGTTATGTTTTTCTTCAATAAAATATGGAGCAAGGGTCAGTGTCGGGGATCATGTGATAAGTGTTTTGTTTTTGGTTCTAAAGTCTAAATGATTATTTTGTGTTTGTGTTGTGGATGTTGTATTGCTCCAGACCACCAGGGGGAGTTGTAGACTGCAAAATGAGATCTAGGTCTGTTGACATGCTTATGAAAAGTGAATTTTTGGAGGCATATCTAGCAGCAGAAATACTGGAGAAATCACAAAATGTGAAAGTTTAAAAAAAATGTAAATGTATTTTTTCTTCAGAAACTTATCATTTCTGAATGTTTGATTTTATGCTTTCCATGATTAATTTTTTTTTGTAGTTTTTCTTAACTTTGTTAGACAGATGACTTTTTATCCAAAGTACTGTTTCCATGTTCTTTTTGAATTAATGTGCTTCTGGTATGGCATGTTTCTGTATCATCTTTAAACAAGTTTGTCACAGGTTTCTCAATATTTTGCAAATATTACTCATAACTGATCTGTTCCTAGCAGAGATAATTTCAATTTTCTTGAAAAATGCCACTAATTTGCTGTTTCTTTCCTATACCGTTTATTTTCCTGCAGTTCATTTGGAAAGTGTTTTCTGCTGGCATGTTAACTCATGCCTTGAAAGCTATTGGCATTTGACCTGCTCTGCTAGTTGATCTGAAGACTTGCGCCTCCTGCCATCTATTCAGCCCAGTCTTGTTTTGTTGACATCCTCTACTCTCACCCAGATAGCAAACAAATTAGGAAGCTGTCAATACTCTGTGTTTGTGTGTGAGGGAAAGAGAGATAGGGAATAAGCTTCTCAAGCTGTAGTATTAGAAAGATTAGAAATCTTTTGGCTGTGATCTGGGTGCTACTGTGGAGCCTGAATTCAGACCATCTGATCTTTGACAGTAGTTGTTCCTTCTTAATTGTCATTCATTAATTCTATTTTGCAGGTAATTTGTGACTATTCCACCAATGGCAGACATGGGGAGTGTTCTGGAAAGATTTTTCAAGTCTATTTGGTGATGATAAATCTTGTAGGTAGCTTGCTGGACACCGGTTTTGCACTCACGGTCTTGACAAATAGGGGTCAAGTAAAGTCGCATCAATGGCTAATCATTGAAACACGATCAAACTGTGTCATGCCCATCTGATAACTCTAGTATCACCTCGTTGACTGCAGTGGACAACAGTGTTTATTTAATCCCAGTGGAATTAGCCACCACACCAAAAGTACAATGAAATATTATTCCAGTAATCCCATAACCTGTATTAAATATGTGGCTATGTAATTCTACATATACTATGGTGCATTTATATCCACATAAATTGAATTTGTCAGTACTGTTGTGATTGAAAGTGCTTTAATGACTTGGCCCAGTTTTGTTGATCCCTTGCCGTTAAGACTTCGATGCTGTGCATTCAAGTGGGTGTCCTAGTTTCCAAGACATTCATATTTTGTGACTGTTGGTGCTTTTTTCCAACTCAACCACTATTTATTTTGTGGCCAGTTGTCTCATAAGTGCAAAGGTTCAGTAGGGTGACAGTATCTTGCTCTTGGGTATGTTGTTGAGGATCGTCTGGAATGAGGGCCCAGAATGCACCTGGAAGGAAAGTGTGTCACCATGTCCTCAGCCGAGGCTGACAGGTGTTCTTTTTGGGGGTGCTGGCACATGGTCTTCTTGCAGTGTGTGAATGTGTATATGGGATTATCTCATGTTTCTCTTTAAAGACCCTGGTGAGAAAATCTGAGCTGGATGATCTTCTCCACTAAGCCCTGTCATGCACCCTCCTTGACGATTCTGTAACATGGTCTTCATGTTTCTCTTTAAAGACCCTGGTGAGAAAATCCAAGCTGAATGATCTTCTCCACTAAGCCCTGTCATGCACCCTTCTAGACGATTAATAGTTTGGATCTGTAAAATAATCAACTCAACCCTGCCAAAGCAGGGCACACAAAGTTATCAGCATTTTATTGTCTTACAAGCAAGCCACATTCTTATATAAGTAAGTATTTAGTATTTATTTCACAGTAAGTAGCATTACCTTTTGTTTGTGTCCTTTCCTGTTGTGTCCCATCCATAACCCAACTGTGTCAAACAGTATGTTGCTCATGATATTTATCATTTATTCATGTGCCAGACTTTAGTCGTGAATGGAAAATCTGCACAGCTTTTCTGACACTGCCAAATGCCCTACTGGGAAGATATCCTGTACCTACCTTCCTTTGCACTAATGATCCTGACATTTGTTTCTTTTACAGGGACACCGGAGGAAGTAACATTTCAAGTTGAAATTTTTCAAAGAAGTGCCACATGAAAAAGGTCAAAGGCAAGTATTTTTTTTTTTCTTGGTGATGCCTGCCAGAAAGGTCAAGGTTACAATATGACCTATGGGAGTATTGTGTAATTCCATTGGGCTGTGCCATGCTATTCTCCAGCGCATGTGATGTAAGAGGAAAGCTGTCTGTGGTCACAGAATGTGTTCTATCTGCCTGGAGATTTACAGCAGCACAGGAGTAAACATGAATTCAGAACACAGAGCGACAAAAATAAACAACAGCTGGCAAAGCGATGAGTAATGACCGGTTTCATGGGCACACTGGAGAAGAGGTACTGTCAAAATCTTTTTGTATTCCTCTCGATTCATATAAAATGTGAACTTTTTGAAAGCGTTGTGATTTTAAGGACAGCCATTACATTTAGGATGTAAACAAGTGTGATTGAGCTGTGCAGCTGTGACAAGGTCGGGAAGGTTTTGCATGCGATTTCTGATTTGTAGCATGCAATAGACAACAATGATCTTCTCCACTGAGGTTCACACACAGTCACCATCTCTCACTTTCAGGGCAGTAATCTGTATGCACACAGCCCCATGTTAATCGTCACATCCATCACCATGGCAATGGAGCCAGAATATAAAATCATGCACTACACCGACTGAATCGGAGGACAGCAGAAAAGAAGCCAAATGTGATTAAATGTGAAAACCATTGCCAACATATCATTAGCCATTTATTCAGGATGGAAGAAGACTTGCAACCACAGCCTTGAGTCAAATGTGCTATGGGCACTACGGTTCAGCTGGCACACAATCAAGAGCAGAAGCATATGGACCAAGACACGGATCAGCACATAGTGTACGTTTGAATTAAAGAATCAGAATTCCCTTTCGACTGTGGGTAAACCAAGTGGGCTACACCTCCCCTTCCGTCATCACGCTCCCCTCCCCTCTCCATGCCTCCAGCGCTTCCCAGTCTCTGGTTCACTCGTCTCTGTTTACCTCTCTGCTAATCCCTTGCATTGCGTGGTCTCTCTCTCTTCCCTACATTCTCTCGATCGCTGTCTCTCCTCCCCTTTCATGCTCAGAGCCAGAGGGCTGCCACACGACCCACTCTGCCTGCTATATGATCTCGTGGAAAACAGAGCTCCGTGTCTTTGTAGCCGCTTGCTACTGCTCGAGCCTTTGTAGATTGCAATCTAGGAGACAAGGAAAGATGCCTTCACGACAACCCTGACTCCTGTCATCTCCAGATGCACCCCTGTCCCCTTTCCTAGTATCTCGCCCCCTGTCCCTTTACCCCATCCCCTCTCCTCTACTCTCCAAACCTCCCTCTCTTAATCCCCCCAATCTCCCCTTCACCTCGCACCCTCTTGACAATGTTCTCATGTGTTCGCTGGTTTCAGCCTTTCCTTGCCTTGCTATCCTCTACCTTGTTAACTTGGGGGTACAACTGCCCATCCAGCTGCTTGTGTCCAGACCATCACACCGTGGACTGCACAAGTCAAGGGCTCACCCGTCTTCCAGACTCCATCCCTTTGGACGTACGGAGACTACTTCTGTCTAACAACTGGATTCCCTGGATCCCTTCTGATTTCCTGGTTCTCTACAGTGATTTGGTCTACCTGGATCTGAGGAATAACTCCCTAACAAAGCTGGAGCCTGGGACTCTGAGTACATCCTCCAGACTGGTCTATCTGGACCTGGGGAGCAACAACTTGACTGAGATCCCCTCGGGAACTTTCGGGGAGTCCCGCAGTCTGATCAAGCTACGACTCGGGAACAATCCTTATTTGAATATGGTCAGCAAGGACGCCTTTGCGGGCCTCACCTCCTTACGAGAGCTCGAGCTAGAGAGGAATGCCCTCTCTGGCCTGGACATCGGGGTGTTGAGCCAGTTGCCTTCTTTGCGGGTGATACGCCTGGAAGGGAACCCCTGGGTGTGCAATTGCAACTTTGCCAAACTCTTTCTGTGGCTATTGGAGAATCGTCACAAGCTCCCATCTGGTAAGCTGCTTAAATCTTGCTTTCCTGATCTGCATGAAATAATATCATACATTTTTTCTAATAGTCTCTGGTGGTTTAACTGTGAAAGATCCAAAGGGTCAATGACACTGAGGGTGAGAACTGTTTATGCTTAAGGTCTACTTTCTGAATAGGACGTACATATGGGTGGACTGATTTTGTTTGGGATAGAGATGCTTCACAACCCACTGGTTGCTTACAGCTGAGACTGAACTATTTTGAATCATCACATTAGCATGATGGGCTAGTAATTCAATTGATTAAGGTCTTGAATCTCTCAATCGAAAGTAACATTTCAAATTATAACACTTGTAGTATTACATGCCTCCACTGCATCTTGTGTTTAGCTAAATAATGCATGAGAATGTTTTCGAACCAAGACAAAGAGGTCAACACACCGTAGGTGATCACTAGAATATGCAAAATATGCTTGTGCATAATTCATGAAACATATGCCACACAACATGTTTCCTAATTTTGTTTCATGTCTTGTCCTCTTTGTTGACGTTAATTTGAGTGGTAACTAAAGGAAGAAATTTAGGGAAATGTACCCTCTTGGATACAGTATCCATTGGTCATTATAGGTCACTTACCACTAGTCCAAGGTTAAGGTCAAGTTGAGCTCCACAGCTATATCAAATATATATGCATGATCCTCTCTATCCCTTAGAAGCACAAGTCACTTTTCTCTCCCTGTGTCTGTTTTAGAGACTAATGTAATAATAGGTCGCAAGTTACGAACATGTCAATATAAAAAATGTAGTATATATATTATGTATATATATGCAGTAGTCAACATTTGAAGTGGATCAAAACCTTTCATCAAAGTTGTCCTAAAACCTAAAACCAAAATGCGTTCTTGTATTAGGACAATTTTAATGAACTTTTTTGATCCACTTCAAATGTTGACTACTGTGTATATATATAAAAAATCTCTCATACCCAAAGTGACAATATAAAATTGATTAAAGATTAAATGGTAAATTGTTACTGTTGGAAACTTAACCAAATACTATGATTTGAAGTCTAAATTCACATATTTTTAACAAAATTTGAGAACCATTTTTTAGAGACTAATGTAATAATAGGTCGCAAGTTACGAACATGTCAATATAAAAAATGTAGTATATATATTATATATATATATGCAGTAGTCAACATATGAAGTGGATCAAAACCTTTCATCAAAGTTGTCCTAAAACCTAAAACCAAAATGCGTTCTTGTATTAGGACAATTTTAATGAACTTTTTTGATCCACTTCAAATGTTGACTACTGTGTATATATATAAAAAATCTCTCATACCCAAAGTGACAATATAAAATTGATTAAAGATTAAATGGTAAATTGTTACTGTTGGAAACTTAACCAAATACTATGATTTGAAGTCTAAATTCACATATTTTTAACAAAATTTGAGAACCATTACTTATCATAGTTATCGTCATAGGTGTGAATCTTCCTGATTGGATTAAACTCCATATTAAGAGAAAGATTTGCTTAATCCTCAGAGATTTTGAAGTTTATTTGACTATTTTTGTAGCTTATGATTTGAAGCAAGAGACTGAGATCGTATCTGACTGTATTGCATTTGTAACTTCTAAATCACATCATCATTTAATTAGAGTCCATTTTCCAGAGTAATAATATTAACTGTACCCATTAATTTAACATGAACAGGATGTTTGTTCCTTTGTCAACAGAGACAGAGAAGGTCAGTTGTATTTGTAAACAAAACCCTTTCACCCATTCACAAATGTTTGCAGCCTGTAGACCTTGCACAGTCTTTTATGAACATCACTTCTGTGTAATTTGCAGATTAACAACAAGATATAAATTGAGTTTACTATATAACCTTGAAGATAATTATATAATATGTAATATTTTGGTTTAAAAAAAAAAAAATGAAAGAAAATATGCACCTTATTATGGACAAAGTAACACTTCTTTTCTCTCCAGCAGCTATACTATAGCTGTATTGTATTATTACGGTGTCTTTACTAAGTATATGTTGGTTTTACCAAGGGGGGACATGACATTTAGGCAAAACTGTAAATGCCATGGATGAATATTTCTTGAGGGCTTGTTTCTGTGTTTCATTGTGTTCAAAAAATGTATAAACAATTCTCTCAAAGTAATATTTTCTTTGCAACATTTAAGTTAATTTAAATTTGATGTTATTACATTCAGTGTTGATGAACAAATACAGAGAAGAACCTGAGAAGTCCAAATTGTTTAGAATGTGTCAAGATGTTTTAGACATTCCAGCTATCTAGTATTTATTTACATTTTTACATTTGGCAGACATGGTTACCAAAATTGACATAGTATTCAAGATATGTATTTTATCATTCATTCCCTGGCAATTAAACTGACCTTGGTGTTACATAGCTACATAATGCTATAAATGCTGGTGGTTAGATTGTTTTAATTGTAACTCAAGAAACAAAACTGACACAGTATTTTAAATATTGTATGAAAAACTGTATGAATCCACCATAATGTAGTCTTTAATTTAGATAGTCCAAGGACCACTAGTTTAAACTCCCTTACAGAGTTGTAATTCTGGCACTTGGGTATGAATGAACACGTTACATCCATTATTCAACCCAACATTGAATCTGATACTGATGATAGCACACTTCTGGCACACTTTCAGTTGCCTAGTAAATGGATATTCAGTCTTTCAAGGGCAAGAACCAAGATTTCCACCAAATACGGTGTTGAGTACATAAGCAAAGCATGTGAAGTGGTGTACATATGTGACAGGCGCACACACAACTCTTTAAACAACCCTCAAAGGTCAACAGACAGAGCCCGAGAGGTTACCACATCACAATATATCACCGTTATGCCAACAAGCCATGTATTTACCACAAGATAATGCATGCACTCTGTAATTGTAGCAAAAAAATGGATTTGGATTTATTCAAGGATTTTGAGCACATTAAACAAATGTATTGAATGAAATCAGCGTAATCTGAAAAGAGAGACCTAATGGGATTCATATATTCAGCTGTATTACACTACAAATGCATAGCTTTGATTCATTTCACTGATGCAAACATAAGAATGGCAGTGTCTTCCTCGTGCTACACATATGTGGTGACAGCAGGCTAGACAACACTAGTCGGCTGACTGAGCTTGTGGCTGCTGTGAGAATTTTCTAAATGGGTAAAAGCATGTGCGCCCGTGTTGGTGATTTGTGATTTTTGCTCCGGGGGATCTCCAGTGTAAAACACTGAAGCTCTGGCGTGATTAAACATTAGATGAGCTCGTAGAGCTGGGCAAACGGCCACGTGACAGACCCAACAAAGGAGGCTGAGGTCAATGAATCCCCTGCATGTGGAAAACCCCTTCTGGATGGAGTGACTCATGCCCACTTACTGCCTCACACGTTTGATGATGATGTCAACTGACTTTGGCCAATAACATGAACAAACATGGTGGCATTGTGTTATGACATGGAGGGTTATATATTGATGAGAATACCGTTTCTTATTATTTTCACTCAAAAATACACAAAATCACAAGGGGTTTTGAGCGTGAATGCAATTAGAGGAGAGATGGGGCTCTGGAGCTCTGCCGCTCTGTTGTGTCTGTCAGCGTGGCTGTATTATGTAAGCGATGTTCCACTTCAAATCTGTCATCTGGTGTCCGCTGATCACACGGCTGAAAGGAGATTAAACCTCCCTCTGTGAAAATCAAAATACACACCAACGAGGAAAATTTCACAAACATTTCCCATAAAGAGAGGAAAAAAAGAAAAACAAGATTGGAAAGCATCCCATCTCACATCTTATCTTGCCGTTATGTAACAGGAGTTTTACATAAGTCAGAGCTCGGTGTTACTGCTAGATACAAAATTTCCAAGTAATAATACCACTATGCTGCATACTGATTATAAAATCTTTATTTCTGTAACATTTTATTTAGTAATCATTTATATATATATATATATATATGTGTGTGTGTGTGTGTGTGTGTGGGTTTTCATTCATGTCTTTTTTAAACCTGATCTTAAACATTATGTGTCAAATCTCATAAGCACTTTGTTTTCAAAGCAAATCAAGCATGAATTTGGAAAGCAAGCTCATTCTAGGTGTAGCTCACCCATCAGAAAGGCACTTGAATGTAATGGCATTGAGTGCTAGTGCACATGTTCAATTGGAGTGTGTATAGCCTTGGGTTTTGTGTGTGTGTTAATGAAGTCCACTTGCTCATTTATTATACTTTGAAGCGATACGCTGTCTGGATATGTGACCATCAAATGGCCTTTAAAGAGCTGAACAAAAATAAATTAAATGGGAAATATAAACCGAAACAGACAGTGAAATGAAGGGGAAAATCAGATGAACTTACCTTTTAATTAGCAATATGCAATAACATTTTCTTCTTTTTTTTTTGCTCACCAAGTATGTACTTCTTTGATCAAAAATATAGCAAAAATAGTAATAGCATTACAGTTTTAAAAAACGGTTCTATTTGAATATATTTTAAAATGTAATTCATTCCTTTGAATTATCAGTAGCCATTTTTTGTGGAAACCATGGAACTTTTTTTTCAGGATTCTTTGATAAAAAAAGTTCATAAGAACAGCATTCATTTAAAATAGAAATATTTTGTACAATTATAAATGTCTTTACTGTCATTGCTGAATAAAAGTTTTTTTTTTTTTTATCTTGCTGACCGCAAGCTTTGACTGTGCTTTGTTCAAACTCAGATAATGTTTGTTCATGATATTGTGCAGCTGAGGATGCTGGTGACAATAATGACCTGACATGTGAGCTGGTTCGGAAACTCATACAAGTCAGGTAACTGAATACTGGTCATGAGAGACTAAACTGAATGTTCCATGGACTCTTCTTCACCAAAAGATTCACTGTGCCCTTTTTATCAAGGCATTTCAATTAAAGAGGTCATATAATGAGAAATCACAATTACACTTTCTTAATTCTAAGTAATTCTTTAAACGTACTTTCTAGTTCAAAAAACACAAGTGAAGTTGTGAAAAAAATATCTGAACTTGATACACCACATGGTCTTTTCTGAGATTGTATATATGTTCAATAATAATTGTTCCCCTCTTTGTCTTTCTCTATTCCAGGGTTAGAGGGTATGGAGTGCTCTCTTCCAGGGGACGGGCGGCAAGTGTCCCTCAGTGTGCTTTCTGAGGACAGTTTCCGTGAGTGTCTGGGATTGCTGACTCTCTCTGATTATCTCATAGTCATTTTCTCTGGAATTTGTATTTCAGTGGCAGCCATTATTGCCAGTTTCTTTCTGGCCTCCACTATCCACTGTTTCCAGCGGCTCAAATCCAAAAGGACAGATGAAGAGGAGGCAGAGGACTGAGGGGACTAATTGGACAGAATGGAGATTACAAATTTCCCATAATGCACCACACAGTGGAAGCCAAGGGATTGGATAAAGAGGTGAAAAACCTTATTTCCATGACAAAAGAACCCTGAATTAGGCCCCTGTGTGACTAAGGTGAGGCTGCTAGAGCCGTCTCACATCTCACAACCTTCATCTGTGATTCTTGAATGGAGCATCATGTTTTTATACTTGAACACCAATGATTGAATTGAGCCTTAAGACTAAAACTGTTCCTGAAAACGCAGTTTATGAATCCACTGTTTAATGCCCCTGTATTCAAAATTGATCAGCATTATATTTTGACATCAAATAGCAACAATGGTCTTTTTATGGAAATGTGAGTTAGTTAGTATTTTCTACATGAGTTATTTTTGGTATTGTGTACATGAATCTTGCTCAGTTTTAGTAAGGTTTAGCTACTTGCACTTTAAAGTACAGATGACATTGCACACAATCCCAGTGAGCCAGACTGTAAGCCACTTTTCATAAATCATAATGCCACTTATCACCAAAGAATAAATGAGCATATATTGTGACATACATGTTTTTCATGTAAAGGGTTCAAAACACCAATCAATTCGGTTTTATTACAAATAACACAAGACATGTTTGGTTATTGACGACTTCATAAATGTCATGCATACTCTGAATATGCTTGTTGTAGTTACAGATGGGTCAAAATTATATACTGTATATCAAGTACTCAAAGTATTTTAAAGGCTAAATTAAAAGGGAACTTTGTCCATTTTATATTAATTTTGTCTCGTAACATTCTTTCCTTTTTTACTACGTGTTATGACTAAATAAACATTGACGCCAAAGTGTTTAAAAAGATCAATTAATATGTCTTAATCTTTTTTTTTTCCACATACATATTGTACCTGATCGCAAGTGGGTAGCACTCTTTAAAAACATTTTTATAAATTATATTATATTATATTATTATTTAACTGCACTTTTTAGTGCTCAAATAATTATTACATTTGTCTCTGAACAAGAAAACTGGTTGCACTGTCTTAGACCATATTGTAATTAGATGAAGCGGTCATGCTTTCTGCAGGTGCAGCCAATGACATGCTGTATCATTCCTTCTTTTACTTTGACCCGGAAAGCCCTGGAAGCTCTCAAAGTGCAAAAGAAACAATAGAGCAAATGTAGTGCCTTTATATAATCTCATTTTGCTTCCACTGCACATAGAATTGAGTTTTTTAGGTTGCTGCTGGAGGAGGTTTTTGTCTTTATGAAAGCTTCTTATATATGCTGTGGTTGGGAGATATCCATGACTTAGCAACAGTGGTGTTTTACTCAGGGTCATGAATTTAACAGACGACAGATGAAAACAAGCGACACAGAAGTAAAGATTCCTCAAACATCCCCTCAGATAGAGATGAGAGAGGACGGAAAGCACACAATGCTTATTTATGCTCATTTTGCCTGCTCATTTTCTAGGCGAAAAGTTGAATGAGACAGAGGAAAGACTTTGGCAAAATGAGGCTACGATTCTTCAACACTCAGATCTTCTTGTTGCTATGGTTACGTGTCTGTGGGCCAGTTGTGTTGAATTCAGACACCGCTGCTGAGGATGGCTTTGGAATATTTGACTAATCAAGTCTCCTCCTGTCCCTTGCCATTTCTCAGTGACTTTTAACCAACTTTCCTCTCCTTAAAATTGACTTGATTTATAGCATGTTCAAATGTTGTGAAACTAACATTCTTGCTTCTTTCCTTACTGTTTACTCCTTTCCTTAGTATGATTTGGATGGCCATTAGCTAGAAAATAATTAAGAACATTAAATATTAATGCACAGCATCATAACTACTGAGTTTGAAAAACATTGTAACGTTGTGAAACGCTAAAACTTCAGTTTTAAAGGTAAGTAAATGGTGAGGGTCAAAGTTTACAACAGCATGTGAGTTGAACATGAAGGCATGTGTCTGGTAGGAAGTTATGTGTCAAGGCCTGTTTACTTGGACAGGGGCCAAGATTGTTTTACATTCAGGGCAAATGAAACTGATCCTTCAACTGTCCACTCATTATCCAGTGGTGGACTATGACCTGAGAATGAAACCAAGATCCCTGAAAACAAGAGCAGCATGACCCTGCATCCTGATCCTCTTCACTGTTTCTGACACCGATGCTGGTTAGTTTACAGTGGTTAGTGTGATTACAGTATGAAAAGCCTTTCAATAGTGGTTAACAAGGAAGATACAGGGGGTATAAAAAAAAGAATCACCCGCTTTAAAATAATCACATTTTGTTGCTTTGCAGCCTAATATGAAGACGAACACAGTTTTCGTTTTATCCAGCTGCATTTACTCAGTGGAACTTGTAACATCCAAGTGAAAGAAATAACACCAACATGTCAGAAAAAAAAAAGGATCACGGAGTTGGAAAAAGGATCACCCCCCTTCTAAAAATGACTTGTAAAGTTGTAGCTAATCACCTTCTCAATGACACACAAAGCCATTTAACTTTCAACTGTGATCAGCTGTGGTCATTTTGATCAGCTCAGCATGAAAAGAGCTTTCCTGGAGCATTTCAGTCCTTGGTAGTGCAACTGAAGCAAACAATCAGCTATGGGTGGCAAGGCACTGTCAAAAGATCTCCGGGATAAAGTTGTGGACAGGCACAAATCAGGTGACGGATATAAAAAAAACAATTCAAAGGCTTTATCAATGCCTAGAAGCACAGTGAAGCCTATTATTAAGAAGTGGAAGGTATTTGGTACAACACAGACATTAGGATGTCACTCCAAACTGGATGAAAGAGCCAGGAGGAAACTGGTCAGAG